ATTATTATATATTAATCATATATTAATAATATGTTAATGTATAATTTATAATTAATATATACATATAATAATAAATTTATATAAAAAATAAAATTTATTTATGTATATACTTAATTTTATAATTAAAGTTCTAGTCTCATTAAATCATTAAAGCAATTTTCTAATTCAGAGATCACCGATGTGGCAAACTTTTACAATTTAAAAATTCTTAAAATCAAATATCAGATATATTAATATTTTATCATATAATCAAAAAAGATACGGACCTTTTTTTTTTACATAAAAGAAATTGTTGCTGTCATGATTTTTTTTCTCTTACTGTTCTGTTCGCGTCTATTTGATTCAAAATGTAGTACATTTTTTACTCAATATTTAAGAATTTTTTTCTCTGGTATATAATGACTTTGTCTGTGAATATAAGATCCTTTTTCTGTAAAATCTTTTTTATTGTTTAGATTTTGTTGATATATTGGCCGTAATAATATGATTGTAAATTTAAACAGAACAACAGAGTTAAACGTCTATATGATCTTCTTAAAAAGCTGAGAAAAAATTTCGCCAGAGCTCACAAAAGAGAGCAACGTTACACAACGTGTTATTAAACTTACGCCCGCGTGAGTATTCTGTTTTTGAAAGAGCTTCTGCAGATGCCTATCGCTTCTGCCGGCAGTGTCAGCGAACTTGGCAGTGCCCTCTTTGATGAGCAGCTCCCTCTGGGTCCAGGCGTTGTTCTCCTCCGAGAATATCCTCTCGAGCTCGCGGAAGAGTTCGTGCTTCTCCCGAGGCATGCACTGCCAACACTTCTCCAGTCGATACACCGGATTGCTTTGGAGACCGGAGACGATCGCTTTCAAACTACTAAAATTCTTGAGTATCCGCAATTCCTGTGCGACGTCGATCCATGTCTCGAGGATTCTGGCGCGCTCCTGAGATTTGAGCGTCGTATCCGTCAGAATCGTCGAGATCACACGTAACGAGACGGCGTTGAATTGGTTCACGGTTGCCACCACCGTGGCGGCTTCGTGACTCCTGGAACGATCCTTCCTGGACCATACGGCACCAAGACACTGATGGGCAACCAGTTTCTTAAACACTTCGGCATCCATCCGGGTTAGCTGCTCGGCGAAGTGACGGTGGGGCACCTCGGGGAAGATGTAGTTCCCCCAGTGATCCGCCATCGGATCCGGGGAACCGCGCATGGGTAGTCGGCCATTGTCGTATACTATACAGTCTAAAAGAAAAAGAAAATCGAATTGAAATCAATCTGGTTCGATCTCAAATTGATGAAAATCAATCTAGAATTATGTGGCGAAATATTATTTTTTCATTATTGGTTCTTTTTTAAAAATCATTTTTATTTTATGATTTTTAAAATATAAATTGTTGTAAAAATTTAAAAGCATAATTTAGATTAATTAAATTAATTTGTGTGGCTTTGGAATTTCAATGAGATTAAAAATTTGTATTAAATTTTAATATTTAATTCTGATATAAAAGAATTCCTTTAAAAATTCTTTTAAAAATATTATTAAAAGCCGAACTTAAATTAATCTAATCGAAAATTAATGAAAATTAATATAGAATTAAATGGTAAAATGTTAATTTTCATAATCGAAGTCCTTTTTATAAAATTCTTTCTTATTCCATACATTACAGTTTTTTAAATACATTATTGTAAAATTTAATTAATATATAAAAGAATAATTTAAATTAATTTTATAATTTTCATAATTTAATAAGTTTAAAAATTTATATTAAATTTTAATAATTCTGAAATAAATAGATTTTTTATAATTTTTTATAATTTCATAAATATTACATTCTATCAATCTTTATTAAGAACAAGTCTCAATTATATTCGCGTCAAAAACTTTCTTTTGCAAGATTGTTTCAAAATATTCTCTCTCTCTCTCTCTCTCTCTCTCTCTCTCTCTCTCTCTTTCATTACTTTAAATAAAACCATCTCTATTTTGAAAATATTGCAACTGGATCGAGTTCTCCAGCAGGCAAGCCTTGAGTGAAAGGTGAGCCCTGCCCGGGTCGTGGCAGTATAATAGAGCCTGTAGACCCTCAATTTATATACGGGAAGCAGACGCCTTTGTGCGAGCTCGAGCAGCCTGATTGGTCTTTCACCGTCACTAACAATCAGACCATCTTTCTGTGTTCCAAACTGCCGATAGAACGATTCTTTCGCGCCAATGCTGTTCGCGTCAATAAAATATGCCGTTTGAACTTTTTTTGTATTCCAGAAACTCGCGAAATATACGTCGAAACGCATTGCGAGGATATATAAAGTCCGATCCTATGTTACTCCTATCTGTTATATTTTTCTTTTTTTGCATAAGTTTGAGGAGACAGTTTTGCAATTTGGGATTTCTGTAAATGTTAAAAGATTGTTTAAAGATTGTGCGCGATAATGTTTGACCTTTCTCAGACAATGCATTTGAAATATAATATTTTAGCGGATGTTTTGCTCGCTTATCGCGGTTCACGAATTCTCTGTAAATATAAAGTAGGTCGCCATGTGAGTCATTACTTGTTACATTCAAATTGTATGCATAAGCAAGAATGTATTATTATTAACAATTAAGAACAATTTGGATTCCTTATTTTTAATAATTCAAAATGGAAAAATTAAAGCTACTAAAAGTCGACATTTAGTGCGCTACGTATTAATACAAAAAATTATGTTTAACCGATGTTTAAAAATTCATATTTGACATTTAGTTATATAATTATATATATATATATATATATATATTACTAAATTATTCGACAAAAATATGTTTTTTTAATATTGGAACAGGAATTAATTCATTTTTTATAATTTTTTGAATGTTGAATACCTACATATGAATGTGTTTTCTAAATTGCTCTATCCCGTTACAAAGTTATTAAGTAATTTACATTTAATTTTGCAAGAAAGGATTATTTTTTATTAATTTTGTAATATCATAATTGTGATATTGGAGAAATTGTATTACAATCAAAATTAAATATTAGGACTTTCAGCTCTCAAAAGGATTTTTTAATCAGCTATAATTAATAAAATAGTTAAATATAGGGTCCATTAGCTGTAAATTAAGTTATTGATGATTTAACAAACAGCTTTCAATTGTATTTATTTAAACTTTTACCATGAATTATTATCATTGAATCCGATGTCAAAATTGATAAATTCAAAATTATAGGTTTAATATAGCTGATGTTAAAACTTGAAAAATGTCTAGATTATTACAAAATTTATAGTCTTTCATAATTTTGAATTTATTAGTTTTGACATCAGTTTCATATTCATCAATATTTAATCATAATTATCTTATAAATCATATCTGACACTAAAAAACTTTTCAAAACTTGGAAATTCTAACAACATACTTAATTTTTATTACAATGAAACTTCTTCAACACATCATACAACATAGTTATAATATAACCCATATAAATATGTAAAAATAATCTTTTTTTGTAACTATGAATGCAAATATCTCGAAATTGGGTTATATATGATAGAATAATTTGGAATTTTTAAATACTGGATTTATATTCAAAAAACTACGGAAAATAACTAGTCTTGTTCTAATATTCCTTTTTTGTTATTACTCGATTTTATTTTCACTCATCATTAACTTTTCGAAACTGGATACTTTTATTATAGATTTGAACTTTATTTAAATACAACCAACGGATTTAAAACTTTATTTTATATTTTAAAAACCTATCTGTATTTTTATACATTTATTTTAATACTGTATTACTGTATTATTTGAAACAGATTTTAAAACGTTAAATTTTTATTTATTGGAATCAGAATACATAATTTAGAATTATCTTATGATAGTTATAAATTTCTAAATTTAAAACACGATTTATAAATAATAATTTTATTAAATAATTTTTATTTAATGAAATTTTGAAATAAATACTGAATGCATCATTTTGATTACAACAAAGCATCCTAATGGTCGTTTCTTTCACAATTTAACCAAAACCGATGTGGTTCTTAGGAAATGTCGCGCCGCATTATCATTCTTCGTATTTGAGCTTCTCACGGTGCCTTATCAATTACACGGCTTTCTTTGTGTTTAAAGTTCACGGGTGGAACGACGTGACTCACCAAGCCGGTAAAATAACATTACCTATTTGATCCTCCCGCTGAAACCGGTGCAGTCGGTGCTTAGCTTTGAGTTCGAGCTCGGAGCCAATAAGACGTTGCTGCGTGAACTCGAGAAGCCTGGTGAGCAGGGGATGGCTCGGGGGTGACTTCCAGTCGCCTAGATAAGCATCCAGCCAGACGTGCAGAGCTTGGACGAGGGTCTTGCGATGCTGCTCGCAGCCGGTGGTCCCGTCCAGAGCGTCGCATCGTGCGAGCAGCAGCTTATGTAAGTGGACTCCAGCTCGCCGTCGTCGTTCGCCAGACTTTCGACCAGCCGCTGCACCGTGCCGGCCTTTAAGAAACGCACTCGCACCGTCTCCCATTCCAAGTGCGAAATCTCGTCGTCAGAATCCTGGAGAATCGCAACGAATGCATTAGTTGAATGTTGAAATTATTAATTGAAAACAAACATACGACAGAATAGTTTTAGCAACGTTGCTGCAACATTGCTAGAATGTGCTGTATGAATGCTTTTGTGCCTTTAAAGATTCCTTTAAATAAAAGCCTTTTACTCTAGAATGCTTGTCGATTGATGATACAGTATTACTATTGATATATAAATTTTATGAGAGTATAGATCATTGTTAATTAATGTAACACAAGATTTTTGTATACTTTACACTTTTAATGATAACATATTTATAATCTCTATAAAGAAAATAAGAAAACTAGAAAAAATATAAACCTTTATAAATAATTATCTAATTATTAAATTAATAAAAAGAGCAAGATTACTGTCAAATTCAATTTTGAAATGATATAGCGTATGTAATCCAACAAAACTATTTAAAAATTGATCATTTATTACGTGATTTCAATTTCTTTGTTATAATATTGACCACCAAAAGATCCAAACTGATATATAATGGACTGAATTTTTAAAAGCTTTGGTCCCCGCTTTGATGAATGGCACTAGAATGATACTCAATTAGGCTTCAGCTTTCAGCCTGGCAGATTTAAATCTCATGCTAACCATTGAAGACACAGCTTAGCGCTCAATGATCTCATTTACACACGATAATGAAATTTACATACGATAGTATTCTAGGATTAAATAAAAGTCTTTAAATAAACAGTAGCTAAAAATTTAGAAATTTCAGAGCAAGTAAAAAAAACTTGCTCTTTGAAATTTCTAAATCTTTAGTGAGGAGAATCTTTCTTGAATCAAAAAATTATGGAAGATACTGTGTGTGTGATTACAAGTAGATCTCCATTCAACCATAATAAGAAAAAGTTTAATTATATTGGTAAAAATCACTTAAAAGTCAACTACAATAAAAAAAAAAGATTAAATTAATTGAAATTATAATTAAACTCTCTAAAAATGATTAAATTAAATTAATAAAAATTATCAAGATCTAAAAAGAACAAATTAAACGAGTAAAAATTACTATCAAATGCTAAAAATCTAAAAGAAAAGGACAAGTTATTGGTAAAAATATTAAACGCTAAAAATCTGGACTAAAAATATTTCGATCATGCTTACCGATGCTGAAAGACTTCTCGTGGGCCGATGGTATCGGACCTTCTTTAGATATACTGTGTATATGACGCCGTCGCCTCTTTCCTCGCCCCATAAACGCCACGTGGGCTGCAAAGTAGAAAATCGAACATCGAACTTAATCATGAATGAATGTGAATGATTATCAATGAATATAAACGATATAAGGAACAAATAACGAAGGACCACACACCAGGGGATGATTTAAATTTCTAATTTCACAGCGGAGCGCTTGCTACTCCCTGTCGCGACCTAACAAAGCAACAAGTAAACAAAGCAATTGGAAATAAAAAAAATGATTCTATTTTTTTCATCCGTAGTTAATTTGTTTATTGTGACAAGTGAAATTGACACTTAGTGACTTTACATCACATTATTTCATATAAGTACAGTTAAAAAAAAAAAATAAATTTTTTGAATTTTAGGTGAATATAACCGCGTTGTCGCATTAATTAACATATTATTACTTTGTATCAATTATTAAAATTAATAATTAAATTTGCTATATAATTATCTTTACAGATTCTTTATTTTGTATTGACTACAAAATCATCCCCCAGGTTGCCTTTCCATTGCACTAAATATGAAAATTTGATACATGCTTCATTACATTTTTAATTTTTCTCATAAAACCTTTCGATTCATCCAAACACATAGCTAATAATATATTTAAATCTAAAATAATTACGTGTGCTAATGCAGAGATTTCTGAATGCTTTGGAATATTTCATTAATTCACAAAAATATGCGCATCAAATCATAAAAATATGTGTGATATGATAAAATCTTATTCTTTTCAAAATTTAATCAGATATTATAGATAATTACAGAGTTTCTTTGTTTTCTGAAACTTGATTTAAGCGTTGCAAAACATTGTGCGGAATTATTGCAAAAATACTGTAAAGATCACGATAGAATAATAGAAATGAGAAATATGATTCATACGCAATTGCTTGATGAGAACAAGTACGTGGTTGAATTTATGTATTTTATATAAATTACGTAGACAAGAATTCATCGACATGTACATATAATGTTGCGGTTTCATTATCAAATCAAAATAAATTTTTCTCAACTTTCAATGTGAATTCTTCTACATATAGATTTTAACAGATGTAATCCACGTAGAATTGCTGAACTAAAGTTGCTCATCCGCAAGCAACACACGGTGGAGTTCCACGTTCTCGCAACTTTATAACCTAGTAAACAACCACCAACTAAGAGTAACATAACATTAATTATAGTTCCACACTGAACAATATAAATATAACACATGTTGAATGTAACAGTTACATTGTGTTGAGTATGAAACTATAACATTGATGTTGTACTACTTTTAGTTACTTGTACTAATTTTACTGAAAAGATATTTCATCCATACTCTAATAAGGTAATTTCTTGAAGGCGGATCTCCAAAATTAGATCCAAAATCTCATTTTGATAGTACAATTTTATTTAGTTCTGCATAAAAATTAATTTAGAAACTTGATATTCTTGAAAATTACATATAAAATGTATTAAATTAACTGTTGAGTTCAGTTCTCAATACATCTACGTGGACATTACAAGGAAACTTATGAGACAAAATCGATTAGAAATATCGATTAGAATCTATATCCACTCGACTGTTCACGTGAAATCTATTTATCTATTTGAATAGAAAGACATCGAATCCACATACTTGTTCTTATTAAGCGATATTTATCTATCCAGATCTTATAAGATCTATATGTTTGTCAGACAAGATAATTATAAAAAACAAAAAAAAAGTAAATCTACTTACTAACTTCCTTGACTTTTCATTTAATGAATAAATCATGAAATCAGCTGACTCATGTCCATGCATAATAAACATATAGTCGTGTGCACGTGTACACATACAAATATACATGCAAACGTATTACTTATCAGTGACAGTCGGTCGAGCCACAGGCAGTCTGTATAATTAATTTCAACTTGATAAAGACGGGCTCACTCACGCGATGACGTAACATCTATGTGATAACGCTCGCCTTAAAGGTAGTTAGCCTTTAGAAAAGGTGTTTTGGCTTATCATCACGGAAAGAAACTATAATTAGCGATCTTTGTTGTGAAACGCTTGTCGTTTCGCAAATTAAGGAAATAAGTTTAGTTATTCCCTACGGCTTAATGTCAAATTGAAAAGTTTAGTACAAATTTTTAAATCCAGTTAACAAGGTAATTCTTAAGAAAGTTGATTTAATTATTTTGATAGAACATTAATTTGACATAGTTTGAAAAATTAATTTAAGTGAGCTTTTACAAAAAATAAATCTTTAACCAATCAAATATAATCAATTGTGCTATTAATAATAATTTGAAAATCATTATTTGAAAATCGTCAGTTTTATCTAAATATATTTTTTAGTAAGTGAATTTAAGAAAATAATTACATTTGTTATAATTGTGATTGCATTTATTGAATAAAAATGTTTATTTTATTTATATATCTTGATATTTCACTACATTAATATTTAAAATTATCATAATTTATAGTATAATTTTTTCATGTTTGAGAGATAATTTTTATTTACTAATATTATAACAGTAATGATCATAAAAATGGAATTTCCAACCATAATTATTTTACTATGCAATTATAGTTACAGATACCAAACATTTTTCTTTCAATATAATTATTTGTGTTGTATCTTTTGAACTTTGAAGTGAGGGAACGATATCGATCATTGATATTACTGTCATTTTTCTTCTATGAGGCTTAATGGTGATCGCCAAAGCTTGTCGTGTGATGTCCATTTATTTAACATTGAGATATGAGATTCTGTAAACAAAGCGAGTCTTAGAGGCCATAAAGGGGACTTAATGTCGTGAAATCCGGTACGATAGACGTACGTATTCACACTGGTACAAACGATTACAATCGAAGCCGTACTGAGGACGTAATATCGGCGAGGGACGAGAAACCGGAGAACGCGGAGAGAGAAGCGTGTCATTGCTACCTTTGATGTTTTCTTGCTTTCGAGAAAAGAGATCGTCTCGCGGAAAAACAACAGAAACTGGAATCTGTAGAAACCTCATTTTTCCTGTTGAACGCATTCTCAAGAGTGTCTCTCCCGCGGGGTATTAATTAAGAAAATAGTTCACAGAACTAACTGCTCAGAGAGAATTGCGTATTTTTATTATAGCTATTATATATATAAATATAATTATATAGATTAGATTTAATAAAAAGAAATTAATTTTGGTGCGAAGTATAAGTACAGTTAAATGGATTATAAAATAATAATTTCTTAAAATTGTGAGCAAAGTGGCGAAGGCTCATAAAGAGCTATAGAGCCATACAACAACAAGAAGAAAAAGAAAAATTTCTTGTAATTAGGACTAAAATATTTAAGAATATCTTTTTTATTTGTGAATGTCATTATTGACGTATTAGAATTAAATTCTTTCTACTTATTAATTAGTTGAAATTGTTTTATAATTTTTAATTAGATTCTCTTAATCTTATCAAAAATTATATCTGATTAATTTTGATCCAAGTTAGGTATCATAAGGAAAACTTCTTTTATTAATTAATAATGTAAATAAATAAATAATTTTTTAATATTTTTTTATTTACTTTGTGTTTTATGACATGAATTTCAAAAACCAATTTGAGTAAAATTTCTCGCAATTTAACGATTATTTAATATATTTGATTTCAAAAATTCCAATGGTGCGCGAAAAAAAAATATTTGGTTGAATTAACTGGAATTCTGGTGGAAGATAAATGATCCAGAATTCTGTTTGAAATAACCAGAATTCTAGTAAACTTAATTAGAATTCTGGATCGTTCATTTTCCACCGCAAATTCAGTTAATTCAACCAAATATTTTTCTCCATGCAGAGTTGTCGATTTCACCTCGATGCAGACGAGACCCAAGAAACGAGGATCCCAAGTCCACCCGCTCACGCCCCGGAACGACCAAGCAATTAGACGTTCGCAGAGGAAGAACCCGAGCGTGACTCGAGGTCCTCGTACCTGTATACTAGTCCTTGACAGCCGCTTCCCTCATGTCGATTCGCCATTGTTCAGCAGTAAACAGCACGAGCCGAGCCTCGATGCCTGTTCCTTAAGTATAAACCAAGTATAAACGCAACGGAGTATCTCCCGATCGAGGTTGAATTGTAATTAGGGACATTTCCGGTAGTAAAACCCATGATATCGTTCGTTGATCACATCACGCAGGATAATGTTTTCATCTTGAAACACGCGCTCTCCGCGCTTATCTTTAGTATTAAAGGCGTGTATAAATTATATATCATTCTTTTACTTCAAATGTGACACAATTATTTTTCGACTTGACAAAAAAAATTGACTAATTAAATAATATCGGCCAAAAAATATAAAAATATTCTTAATATGATCAAATGTCATTTTTGTCATTTTTCCTTCATCCTTAAAAATCACCCTTTTTGAATTGTAACGATTTTAATGACTTTTAATGAAGTTAAATTGATTCGCGCATAGAGATGTGAGTTTGTTATTAGAAAAAATGATTTGTTATGTGATGATTTGCTAGGAAAAGGGATCCATCAGTTACTATTGCGTATCATATTTCTCATTATTTGTCAAATTTAACAAATAATATACAGTTTACCATACAAATCATACTTGTCCTGTATATTGATTGTACAAAATATATTGCTAGTATAATTTACAATCACTAACAAAACGACTAGCATATAACGACTAGCATCAGTTTCCATGACAGAAGAATCATGGACAATAAATCAAAAGTTACAAATCATATTCGTTTTCGATATCGAGAACATTTGTTGCCATTATATCTACAAATCAAATTTTTTATTAGCGGCTTGTTAAATTAACAAAATCTTTTCAATCCGTGCATTTTTAATGATTAACAAAATAATATTCACTTAAGTTACTATATTTTTTGAGCTATGTATGTCACTTTTGAAGTGACATAAGGAAGCGATATATTTATTACTATATTATGGAAAAAAGATAATTGTTAACATTTTCTAAATAGAAATTAAATATTTGAATACTTATGACAGGAAATTTAACTACAAGCCAAAAACAAAAATCTTAGGAGAAGTTTCTGAATTAAACAGCACTCATTTATTTATAAGCGCTTTGAAAAAGTATATAAAAAGTGATTTTGGCTCAGGATACTTTCCAAAGCGGATTGAATGTGTGTTTCAATTAGAATAAACGCCCGGATTCATAAATACAGAAACGGTTTGGCGATGGCACACGATCGAACGACGGCAACGACTTCCTGGTGGTTTTCGAATTTCAATGTTAGTCGCGTGTGAATGGACTGAATATATCGAGTGGCTGTAGATAAGCGATTCGCACCGGTTCGGGGATCGATCGTCGCGAAACGAGTGCAAGATTCATGAGATCACGTCGATATAGTCGTACTAGTACGACCATATAGTACGACTATAAGTAAATTGACAATGGTCGTAGTATCGTAAACCATTGTAAGTAACATCGTTCACCGTTTCTGGAACGTCGAGATTACTGCTCGAGAAGTGTATCTACATTCGCGCGCGAATGGTGAACGAGATTGGCGCGGCCGCGGCGTCGCGGAATCCCGTAAATGTCCCGCCGGGGTCAACATCCGCCTGCGGGGTCCCGAAATACATCCCTATTATTTCCCGTTGGATTTCTCAAAGTCCATGTTGGAGACCGTGACGTGAAACCGTGACGAAAACAGTCTTTGCATCATTGGATCAATTTCCCACTTCTCATTTTAGAATTGCTATAAACTATACTAGGAATCTTTGGAAGGAATGATGAATACATGTTTTTCTGCGAAAAATTCAGAGTCCACATCTCTTTAAATATTTAAATAATATCTTTGATAAACGATGTGCGTATGAATATTATATAATATACTTCAGGCTAAAAGTTTAGAAATATTTTTTTAAATTGACATTTTTGAGATTACTTGTTCAAATATTCAGAACAATATGTTTTTTTTTATTGTTAAAGTAATCTTAAAAATATCAATTTTGAAAAAATATTTTGAAACTTTTAGCCTGAAGTAATATTATTTAAATATTTAAAGAGATGTCGATTCTGAATTTTTCGCAGAAAAGCGCCATGCATACGTCATTCCTTCCAATGAGACAAAGATTCCTAGCACATCGTTAATTCTTCAGATCCTACAATAACAATTGTTGGATTTAAAGAATTACATAAAAAAAAAACACATTGTTATGGATATTTCAATAAGTAATTTTAAAAATTCTATTTTTTTTAAATGTTTCGAAACTTTTGGCTTGGAATGTAAATACAGTTATATGATGTATAATAGAGATATAGAATAATGTATAATACATACAACGATAATTAAAATAAATTAATGAATTAAATAAATATCTAATATACAAATTATATACACATCCGGTTAATAATAATAATGAAAAAATTAATCAATATTTATTCCGATTCAGTCGTAAAAGACGACGTTTTCTTTTGATAAAAAGTGGCTTTTGCGAGGAAAAAGTTCCTCAGCCGGTTGAGACTAATGTAATTTTTATTTTTACTGATCGAACTGCCAAGGGATCGCTTTTTTTCCACTCAGGAGATAATACAATTTCGATGACATTTTGACTCTGATTACTCAGTTAAACAACTGGCGTGTGTGCGACACACACACACGAGGATCAATGCGCTTAATCCGGGAATCATGTCACTCATTGCTCCCAAAGTTTGGTAGGTATGGGGATTGAGATAGTACAATGCATCTGTTGCACACTTACAAATCCTATTTGGCATGCACTAGTTTAAACATCGACGATGAAAGTAACGAAAAGATTTTCATTCATTTTTTTTCATGCATCTTAAGGTCTAATTAAAAATTTTCACTCATGACAAAAACGATATTTTTAGCAGGCCATGCAAACATATTGGGTGTATCGTAAAGATAAGTCCATTCTCTGATTGAACTCCGAATTTCTTATCGAAAAATATTTGACTAAATATTAAACTTTCTAAAAGATTTGCATCTTTATCGAACCAAACCTCGCAAAACAAACCTTGAATTAAAAATTTATTACTGGATGAATTTTAATAAAAACGTATAAATATACATTTTTTTCCCATGTAGATAAAATCAGTATGAATTGATTAATGAATAACTAATTCATTATACGTTACATTACATTGAGAATTAAGAATATAAAAATAAACATATTCTCTGATTGAACTCCAAATTTCTTATTAAGGAAAAGATTATCAAGTAAACATCAAACTTTCTGCAATTTGTATTTTGGTCATCAAACCTCACAGAAAAAGCATTAAACTAAAATTTTATTACTGGGTGAATTTTAATAAAAAAAATATATTTAGATAAAAATGTATATTTTGATAAAAATATATAAATTTATTTTATTATTTTAAATTACTACTTTCATAAAATGTTATTTGTCTTCCTATTAAACTAACAAGATTATTTTTAACTAAACTAGTACTGTAAATACAATATCTTTTTTCCCACGTAGATAAGACTGATGTAAAAAGAATCGATTGATGAATAATTTATCATACGTTACATTGAGAACTCCACTTTCGGTGTTGAGGAATTCGCGATTAAGCTAGCTTAACTCGATTGTTTATCAACATATTACCGGGAACATTACGATACACCTCTCATGCGAAATACATATGTATAACATATAAACATACATGTGACATACATCAAGCTTCGCTCAATGACAAAAGTGCTGGCAAATCAAATAGACACAAACCAAATAGGTGTAAAATCACGAATGGAAACGAGAGAATCAATCTTATCGCGCTCAATAATTAATCGTTATCATAATCCCATAATCTCTTCGCACATCTACTAATCTCCATAAGACTCTCCCGCTTCAAACAAACATACGAGTCGTCAACGAAAACGAAGCAGAACGAACGAACGAACGAAAGACCAAAACAGCAGGATGCCATCCGGTCATCCGATGTCTCTTTACCTGTTGCACGTACCACTGGGTGGAGCTCTGGCTCTTCCGGTGGCCACCGGGCTTGCAGGGGGCGCAGAGCAGCAGAGGGGTCAGTTTGTTCACCCCCTTAGCGGAGGAGACGGCGCCGGTCGCCGCCGGCGTGGGCGACGCTGTGGGGCTCAGCCCGTCATCCCCCCCCAACACCGGCCACAGCATCCACGTGTTTTAACCCCCGCTGACCCCGTCTACTTCGTCCTCGCTCCCTTTTTTCCTCGCTGCCACCCCCTCGGTGGTGCTCCCTGGTCGCTGCCACCCCCTTAGTCGCGGAATTGCACGTCTCCGTCTCTCGTCCTCTCCTTCGCACCCCTCCCGTCCACCTGCTTGTCTTCTCTTCGCACCCTTTGGTACCCTACCCTCTTCTTCTCGGGGGAGCAATCTCTTCTTCCGGCCGAACTTCCTCCCGCGTTACGGCGCGAGCTGTCGCGATGCCCGTTGCCGGCGAACTGAGATCGTCGGCCGACGTCGCGTCACCACGCCTCGATGTCGATGACGACGTTGACGTTCACGCGCGATAGCCCGCTCGGGATGCAGGAGCGTATCATGGTATCAGGTCGATACGGATTTCTGACGTTCGACAGCTGCGGCTGAAGTTTGAGATTTCGATCGATTGAGGGCAACTTATTGTTTGCTCAGCTGCCTGAGAAGTTCGCGGAGTCACTTTGTCGTTATTTCGCGACGCTCGTCGTTATTTATGAGCGCTGGAGATTAATAACGAGAGCTAGTATTCCGAGATTGTCGTGATCTTAAAACGCCACGATGTTAAAGTTTATTCATTATCAACTTTGTATATATTTATTCTAAGTGTACATAAATATCTAAATCTTCATTGTACATTTTCAGAAATCAATCTTATTTTATTTACATTCATCCATCCTTCATAATTTATATAAATTTATTCCATAATATTAATTTTTATTCAACTGCCGAAAGAGATAAATGAGATTTTAATTTTCAATTTTTTTTAATATTAATGATGATACTTTTTGAAAGATTATTTTACAGTATGCATTCGAATTATAATTTGACATTCCTTTCGAGTTAATTTTAGCATTGTTTATCTTCCTACAAGCATTACTCATTTTTTGATTTAAATTCAGAAAAATAGATTTGTTTTGAAATATTTCATTTAATCGATTGGAGAGTTGTTTTTATCTGGGATTATTTTAAAACTGAACACTTTTTTACGTAAATTGTTGCATATACGTGTGTTTTCAAAAATAAATCTGAATTTATTTAAGTCACTCATCCTTCATATTTACATAAATTTAAATTCAGCTCCGAATATTGACAATTTCTATTTATCCGGAAACAGAAACATTAATGAGATTTTCATGTAAATTTTAATTACATTCTATTAAAGTTATATTAAAGAAATTTCAATTTTTTACTTTTTTTAAATATTACCGATAATATAATATATTTGGGGAGATTATATTTCAGAGTAGCATAAATTTGAATTCTAATTTGAACATCCCTTTCGCATTGATTCGCGCATCCATCATCGCAGCCCTGAGGCGAGTGCATAACAGTACGTTTACGCTTATCGAGAATCGATTGTTGTATCACACCTGTCTTACAACCTGACTAACTGCGAAGACAAACAAACAAACCCGATACACTCTATTTCGGGAAACTAACAAGAACGAGACGCCTCCGGACGCTTCAATAGCTTGACAAGTAATTAGCTCTAAAAGGTCGTAGGTCACGTGAGTGTATGTATCTACTTCCGGTACGCGTATCATGTTCATTGCGTGGGCTACGTAACCCCAGGGCACTATGTATTTTGAGTAAAGGATGGGGTTGCGTAACCCCGACTTTACCTCTTTCGCAGCTAAAGGGCAGCATATATGCAAAGTGCTAAAGGGCACAGCGCGTTAAATGTTATTTTACCAAAACGAAGGCAGACGTTCTTCCGCAAAGCAAGAAGCTATTATATTTAGTTTACCGCGTTTAATTTCACGTTGTTCGATTTAATACTTAAAATGACAGCAAGATGAATAATAATGAAAGTGGTGATTCAATTATGCAACAGTTCAGTTATGATTTAATAGAGAGAATTAATTAAATTGTGATATAGCAATTCTCTGTCTCAATTGTTTATACTTCAAATGCAGCTTTCGCTATAAGTATAAAGCAATCTCAATTTATTGCATTTTCTTGGAAAAAGTGGTAATACGAGCTAAAGGAAAACTATCGAAATATTAAATAAATATAATTTTTTAATAAAACTTTTTAATTCATTTTTTATTAGGTTAGAAACTTCGTAGCGCTACTTCATTTGTATCATATCTATATATTTTTAAACAAATTTGGCAATTATATCATTCGATAAATTTTAGCTTTAAAAATCTTAAATTTTGCAGCACAATAAAACACTTAATTATAAACGATTTTAAAAAATTAAAATGCTCCTATTATTTAATCCGCAATCTCAATAACAAAAAATTTTAGAAACATTAAAAAAAATGATTTTATAGAGAAAACTAAGTTTTCACACTAGAAAATTGCGGTAAGTTTTTTTGGGCATGTGACAGGCCTATAAAGTGGGAAGAAAATTTCCCATTTTGTTCAACAATTTTCCTTCAATAGATATATGAAAATTATAAAATTCACAGAAACTCAAAAGGCATCATGACTTTTCGAAAGTAAAGATTTTAAGCTCTTTTTAAGCTTCAAAACTCTTTTTTCAAAATTTAAATTTGTTCATTTTTAACAAAATTGGCTGTTTGAATTTTGAAATTCGTAGTGCTATGAACTTCTGTTCCAATTAAATAGAATAGAACGTTTATATCGATTTTGTGAAAATGTTTTGTATTTATAACTAAAGCATTGTATTTCTCTCGTCAGAAGGACTTTTGACAAATTTTTCTACATAATATCATCTTACAATTAGTATCAAAACATCAAATGCATTTAAAATTTTACCAAATGAAAATATAACGATGATATAACAAATTGGTAATCGACGCATCTTGTCGATTACTAATTTGTTATATCATCGTTATGTTCAATTTCATTAATAGGCAATAATCTTCATTTCGCGAATTAATCACTACGATCGCGCGCGGGAATAATATTTCCTAGGAAGGGAAGATTCCTGACGCGAGATTCTTGACTTAACATTGCAGAACCAACGGAGGATTGCTGGAATAGAACACGAGAGAGAAAATATTTTTACTCCCGATTTTTTTTCTCAGGAAAGAAATATTCTTGGGACGCGTTGTTTAGAATAATCCGTACGAGGAGGGAAAAGCACGTTATTATACATTAAGGAGTACGCAATCATTTCAGAAATATGCTTCTATGCAATCGTCTATCTTTAGAATATAATGTATCCAGAAATCTCTCTCTCTCTCTCTCTCTCTCTCGAAATATTCCTGGCATATTTTTGCTTTCTTCGGAGAAAAAGATTCCAGAATATCTCCTCTGCCTGCTAAAGAATTCAGAGTTTTTTCAGAATGCTCTCTCACGAGTGCGACGTCAAAATGTGCGAGAAATGTCCTCGCGGAATGTTATTCCCTTGCATTAAGAGAAAAGGGTTGGTATTTGTGGCTAATTACATGATGAAATAATTATGGTTGTTATGGTTAAGAGTTGTGTTAATCCATTTTTCTCGTTATTGTTACAATCTTGGCAAAAAGTATAAAGCACTCCCACAAATTCACATAAACGTTCGATATTTAACGAAAAATAAATTGAAAGTTTTATTGAAAAATAAAATTTATTTTTACAATAATTTTAATATCTTGTTAGTTTTCCTTTGAATTTTATATCTTTTCCAAAAAAGTGCAACTAATTAAGAACAGATATCTACAGCCAAGGCTGCTGTATAATATTAGTAATAATAATACTGTTTAACAGAAAAAAACACTAGAACTAATCATTTCTCGTAGTTTTTTTTGACGTTGAATATGAACTCAGCTTCCAAATTATCACATCACAATTTTGAGAAATTTAAAGTTGTAAAAGAGAGCTATTTTTACGTATTTTATTATATTATAATTACGAAGTGACGTGCTAGAGAAGTTTCATTGCAATTAAAATTAAGCTTGTTGTTAAAATTTTCAAAATTATTTTTTTAGTGTTAACTACTTTACTTTATGAAATTTATTGTGAAAAAGTGACATAGGACGATTTATCAAATAACTTTTAATTATTTTTAATTAAACATAAAGGTTTTTTAGGTCGCTTTATACAAATCCGATGTCAAATTGATAAATTCAAAATCATGAAAAACATCTTCTACATTTTATAATGATCCGGACATTTTTCAAGTTTAACATCCGCCATGTTAAATTTACCATTTTGAATTTGTTAATTTTGAAATTGGATTTATATATTCAATGATCTAAAACCTTTTAAGTTTAAATATAGTTGAAAGCTATTTGTTAAATCATCGATGAGTTAATTCACTGTTTTTCTGATTTATTATTTAATCTCTTTATATTTATTATCTTTCATTTAACTATGAATATTTTAATAATTGTAGCCGACACTAAAAAATTTTGAAAGCTGAAAGTCGCTATATACTTAATTTTGATTGCAATAAAACTTCTCCAGTACGTTATAATATGACTAAATTTGTCCTTCCTTTCGCAAATTTGAATTGCAAATTTCTCAAAATTGTGACGTGATGCAATAATTTAATACACACATTCATATTTAGCATCCAAAAAAATAACTTGTTTTAATGTTTGAAAAAGTCATTTTATCATACAGTATAATTACATTTGCAATTTTATAAAAAAAAAATATATAGTTGACACCAAAAAAAATGACTATAAAATATAGTTAAATAACTACAATTTTTACATTTACATTTTACATTTTTTCTCTCAATGTGCTAAATGAGACGGATTCCCTTGGTGATTCTCGTGATTGTCAGGAATATAAAGGAGAATCGGCGAAAAGAGGATACACACGTCATCGAGTGGCAATTGGGACGAGCTCGTTTCCCGCGAACAAGCTCGAGCGTTGAAATTCGATTATCGCTCGCGATTGGATTTCGTTAGTTGGGCGAATGTAACGAACGTCACGATACGATGGCCCTACGACGCATTCAGAGAATATACGCTGAATGATAAAAATGTCGATGCCCGTCGACGCCTCGCTCGAATGATAAAACGAACGCCCCGTCGCGGCATGACACGAGAGACTAACGGGCGTATGTATCGCAATCTTAACCCTTTTGGAAACGTGAATCGAGTACAGAGAGATTAATTCTCTCGTGTTTAATTAAAAGCAAACTCTTTCAAATTCGTAATTTTTCAAGATCGATATTACTTTTCAATATTACTTTTTTAAATATAATTTTCTTAACACGTTTTCTAAGCAAATTTTATCTCGTATTTAATTCTTAAATTAAGAATGAATTCTTTCCAATTATATATATATATATTTTATCATTATTTGTTTATACGCAAAAAAAAAAAGATTTTACTGAAATATCTAAAAATTTAATTAAGGTCTGCAAATAATTTTGCTGGATCATCAAAATAATTATGTAGGAAACGATAAACAATGCTACAAAAAGTTTTGACATTGCAATCAATTTTAATGTTCTAGATAATTATTTTTATGACTC